GGCAATCCCATTGTTATTATAGGTCATGGAAAGAGTGAAGAGACATAAGTGAGATAGTATGTCTTGAACTAAAACCTAAAGTCAATAGTTTCATGAGCTTTTACCACTTATAAACTCTTTCCATCATTCTCTCATATAACACCATATTTGTTTTTGTACATAAATAATTCTATATATTTGATGAAAGATACAAAGAAATAAAGAGGTTTAACATACCAGCAAGGTTTGTGAATGCATTTGATAATGCTAGAGCTGATGAAACACCTTTTCCTCCACCAGACATATCCTCCCCCAAAAGCAGTTTTGCAAATCTCTCCTTCATTTGTTCCATTTCTGAATTTAACACAAAATTAGATAATAAAGTTATAGAGAAATCAAATATTACAATTCATCCAAAGGGTAAATTTAACAATATAATACATTGATTAACAAAGTTTCTAAATCAATATAATGTCAAGGATAGATGAAAATAATGTGTGTTGGTTCTATCATATGTCCCTTTTTGCATGGAAACAATGTTAATAATTATAAAATATAAACCTTGCATTGTATCTAACCATATCAAAGGAAAATATATTCTAATATTTATTAATTTGTTTACTATTTACCCTGTAAAAGCTTCTCATGTGTTTCTTTAGCTGCAATTTCCTCCTTGGATATTATCCTTTGCCTCGAACCCTTATCAAAACTATGTAGAAGTTTTAATCCTTGACTTTTTAATGATGACGATGATGATGATGATGGTATTGTATTTTCTTCTGAAGGGTCTAGTTCGGTAGAACTCTCAATGCTTAAACTCTTTGTATGTCTTCCTTTATTCTCAAACATCCCTTTAAAATGGGATAGTTTAGACCTATAACTTTCTTGTTCTTGTTCTACTGCCCTAACCATTCTCCCTTTTATTTTCTTATATTTTTATTCCTTTTGTTAAGGGATGGAGAAGTGAGAGCAAAACATTGTGTTCTTCAAGATCTTGTAGGGAAAAGAACTAAGTTTGTTACTTGTGTGACAAGGGACAGAGAATGAAGAAGCCAGAGTGAAAATGAAGTAGAACATGTTTTTTTAGGAGTATGAGAGTTTGTCAAAGGTTGGAAGTGGTTTTGTTAGTTTGTTTTCCCTTTTCAGTTGGGTTCATTAAACATATGGATCAATGTTACCAAAAATTAGATGGGTTTAAGAGTGCAAGTAACAAAATTTGTGTTATTATTAGGAAAATGTTGAGTAAGAGAATAATATAGGATGAGTTTATTAACAAAAACAAAAACAAATATCAACAAGTAGTTTTGTTGAGTTGGTATGTATCTGCTTTTGTTTAGATGATATTTATAGTCAAGAAAAATAAAATTATTATGTTCTATACAAATGCTAGAACTATAGCTATAAAAATGTCGACCCATATTCTTATTTTATTATATTAAGTATTCAATTTTTATATAATTAGAATATTTTTGCATTAAGAGTACTTTATGTTAAAAAAATGTATTTATCATAATGTTCAATTTAATGTAAGATAAGTGATTAATGTGCTAATGGTAGTTACCTAGGATTATATGATTTTTTGTAGAAATTAAAAAAATGTAAGGGCAAAATAGAAAATTTGAAATTACACCATGAGGATAGTTATTTCATGTTTTGGCTTTATATATAGTATAGATTTTATATTTTTGTATGTTGATGGGAATTGGTTGTATTTATAGGTAGCTAAATACTAGGGAAGATTATGACTAGGAATGTAACAAGAATAAAAAAGAAGAGTCTTCAAAGATAAGGTCACTACATAACTCCATTTTCCTCTCTACTATAACTTAGTTATGATTCCTGATAAAACCTTAAATTTGTTACTTATATGGTTAATGATTAATTAACACTTAAAATCTTAGTAAATTTGTTACCACAAACATTAGTACACATATGGTTCTTATTATAACTAATGTGCATATTTTCTTACTATTACAATCTTACACTCGTTTAATATTGTTTATTAATGGATAGTCTCAATACCAATAACAAGAAATAGAGATAGTCAAAACTTTTAAAGTTTTAATAGCGACCAATTGAAAAATTTTGTAGCAATGAAAATTGAGCACTTAAAAATCTATTTGGGAAAAAAAAAATTGTAAATGTTACGAGTAGTTTCTTTTACAAAGCCAAAAAATAATGCAGACAAACATGTTAAAGTTCAGTCATTTAATAATAGATATAAACAATTTTACTCTAGAGGAGATTTTGAACCCATAACCTCTTGTCATGGATCAATAATTTTACCATTATGAAGGAACTCTTACTTCTCTAGCTAATACAATCATGAGAGCAAGAAGACTTTGTGGACATAGCCGAAGCCACCTTGACCAAGAAGATTCACAAAGGAAAATTCATCAATTGCTAATTCTTCCTATGCCTGAAAGTGCCATGAGTGATTGAGTAAAGGAAATGCTAGAAGATAGTGTAATGCCTTCATTAAAACATGACCATTGTCAATAGGAATGGTAACAGGGTGGATTGGGATTAGGCTTGTGCTTACTCGAACACAAATCGGAGCTTTCAGATAAAACTTTGAAGGTTTTTACAATTTGTATATACTATGTGAATAAATTACTTATCACATTTGTATATATCCTACTGAACACATACTGTGTGACAATGTCAGTTGCAGCACACCCTAACTCCAAAAACAATCTAAAACTGGCTTCAACAACAGAACATAATTTAAATCAGGATCATGCTGCTCTGATACTTACATAATGCCTATGTTTAGTAAGAACACAACCTAGAAAAGTGCAATAGCAACAACCAAGTTCTGTCTCCCAAGGCGGGGAATCTATATAAATTTTAAATGAATGAATGACTAGTGAACAAAAAGGTTAGACCAAAATAATGGAAAACCAGGTTTTCCACACAGCCTTTGCATCACTCAGGCTAATTAGAGTGACCACCAGGCAGAAAATGGGTGTATGTATAAATAATAAGCAAAAATATAAATTTGAAACTTTTTCATTGGACAACCAAAATGTCTTACAATCTTCATGTTAAATATAAAGAAACATAAGGAGGGTGTAAAATTCAATAATGTTTCATACAGTCTAGACCAAACATAAAACCTCCTACTCTCACAATTCAGTAGCCCCATCAAAAAACGATCTCAGCTTTATGCAGAGGCAGCTGCAGTTTTCTTCCTGGGTGCAGCTTCCGTCCCTGATTCAAAATCCACAAAATGATCATTATAACATTAACATCCACACAAAAAATGACAAAACTGAAGAAAAATTAAAATATTGAAATCATGACATCATTGAATTGCAAAGCCCATTTTTCCTTGAAGGGAATTTGGGTATTTACTAAAAATACAAGAAGTGGTTAAATAAAATACCTTCTCTAAAGCCAGACTTGAATCTGCGAGGCACATGACGCAAGTACCTCATCCTACCGGTCCCAGTGGTCTTTCTCCTAATCGCCTTGACACTCCAGTTATCTGAAATCAATAAAACATCATAAACGATTCAACTCCATTCTTTGTAGAGCAATATCACACTCACATCAATATGCTACATCTATATTGGGCATCCATTCAAGTAGTATAACATCATTTTTCTAAACCAAGCTCATCAATGCCGAAACTATATAGTTTATTTTGGATATAAATACAATGTAATTTGAAAACCACTTACAGTGACATCAATAATTAGGATCTTAAATGAGTGTCAAAACAGCTGTGCACTTTACTATTTTTAAAACTCTAACTTAAAACACCCACTCTACTATTTTTAAAAGTAACATTTAACATGCCCATGGAATCTAAAATAACTCAAAATACATGAAACCTCATAGCAAGGTTTTTAATCCACTGGCCACAATTATGAATGATGTAAAGGCTTTTACAGTGTTGAAAAACACAATCACTATTTAAAAACTTGATGTATAATATATAACACAGAAATATAACAAAAATAGAAGATCCTTACACTTCCTGACACGAGCAGCAGGGTAAGCACAAGCGGAGCAGCGACTCTTCTGAAGGTGGAAGCTGCGACGGCCACACCTAACACAGAGTGTGTGTGTCTTGTTCCTTCTCTTACCGAAACTTCCGGTTCCCTTACCCTGCATTCATTCATTCATTCATTCATCCATTTCCATTAACAAATTCAATCATTGATTAATTAGCTTAAGATCTGTATGATAAAGAGAGAGAGAAAATGAGAAGAGAGAGTAATGAATTTACCATTGAAGCTGAAACCCTAGGTGCAGTTGAGAAGAAGAGAGGGTTGCGTTGCGGTAGCTGAAGAAGAAGAGATTGTATTTATATGGTGCTTTGTTTAGACATTAGGTTTTAGGGTTATTCGTCAGCTTGTATTTGGGCCTGTCATGGGCTTTTTTTGCTAGGCCCGGAATATGATGGACTATAAAAGGAAGGCTTATAAATTGACATTAGATTTTATATCAATTGTTTGTTAGAGGAGACAATTCGGACTACTTGAATGGGTTTACGTTAAACGAATTTTGGGTCGGGCTGAAAATACCTAAGTGTCTTTTAAGCTCGACATATTTGAGCTATATTGAACTAAACTAAAATTCTACCAGGTTTACTCGGGAATGACAGTGAGAGTATTAGTTTACCCAAATTTAAGATAAGCAAAAGTCAATTTGTTATTAACTATTGAATATACTAATTTAGTAATATATTTTTTATAATCCCAAAGGAGTATGACTACAAGAATGTTCATAATTGATTAAATAAATATATTTTTGATAATTCATTTTCAACAATAAGATAAAGTGTACTGAGATTCTTAGTCACATCACATAGACGCCCAACAAGAAATTACACAAATTTACCCAATACCATTATAACTCTAAGACAAGCTTTTAGGATAACTCTTTGTATAATGGATGTGTTCTCATCATTATTAAGCACAACTTCCTATTGAAAACAAATATTTTTATTATGATATAAAAGAACAATAATTAAAAGGGGTTTTCTTTGCATTCAGATAAAAATAATAATATGGTGCATGCAAATCTTTAACTTGCGACTTTCACATTATTAGCACGACGCTCTAACCAACTGAGCTAATAGGCCTTTATATTTTAAATTGAGAAACACTCAAATTTAAAATAATTGTCATTTATTTGTACCAAATTGTAAATAAAAACAATTGTTAATTTTTATCATATGGAGGAACAACAGTTGAAAAGTAATTATAGAAAATAATTGATTTAGCCCATATAGGATTTGAATATACAACCTTCGTGTTAATAGCATGATGCTTCAAGCAACTAATAAGCTTTTCGTCATTTAACTTTGACAAAACTTCAAACAAAAAACATGGCATAGTACAGAGGAAATAATCTTAGAGAAGTGGAAAAAAAACTGATATTGATTGAATGAATCGTGTGTGAGAATGACACAGAATATATTTGGTAACACCACATAGTAACTTATAAGCTAGTGACAAAGAATAAGCTACTTCTTGATATATGGTAAATGAATTTATTTCAATGAACTACTAAGCTCATATTTCATAAGCTACTTGTCATAGCTTATGAGCTTATAAGCTCATAGTTTATAAGCTTTCTGCTGGCGTATAAGCTTTTAGTTACCTTATTAGTTAGTTCACTTAGTTGTGTCAAACTGAGTTACATACATTATGTGTAGAACAAGGCTGATATACTATCATTATTATCTGTAACTACAATCATGTTGAAACATTGTAGAAACTGTGAGGTCTGTGATGGGGGATATAAGGGTTTTAAGCAACATGGATGAAGATGAGGTTTTCGATTTTTCGAAGAAGATAGAGGTGCCTTATGATTTGGCTGTGTAAATGAAGCAAATGGGTAGGCTTGGATGAGGAAATGGAAGGACTCAATCTTGGTGATCATAGGATTGAGCCATTTGATTGTGCACATGTCTAATCTCTAAATCATTTTTATTGGTAGTAGTAGTTCATGTATTTTATAACTCTTTTGTTGTTTTGAACCAATACATTTGTAGCATTATGGAGAGAATATATGTGATTAATGCTGAGTTTTTTTCCTGATAGTATAGTGAATATCAATGTTGTATATAGTATAGGGAATATACTTCATCTGTTTTACTCCTCTGTTTGATAGGTTTCAATCTTAGTGGTTTATGTACTCTATCACCCTTTTTCTGTAATGGATGAGTAAATTTTCTGTATCTGGCAATTACATTAAGCAATGATCATCGTATATACAATATTTAGAAATACATTGGAAGTAGTAATTCTCCTAGATTAGTTGTAATTGTTTTTAGCACGCTTGCTAATCAGATGCGTAAAAATCGTGATTCACAATCGCAAATGCGTAAAAATCGTGATTCACAATCGCAATTGGGATGAACACAATGTAAAGCAAAGTAGTTCTCTTAGATAGTGTCTTGCATTTGATTACTTCTATTATTGTGAAACAGAATTCTTAATGTAGCCTCATAAGCAGCAAATATAGCACCATTCACGACAAACGCTCTAGCAACCGCAGTTTCTACCCCGCGCCAAAGCGCAGAATGCCCTTCTTCTCGAACGATCTTCAAGAAGCAATCAAAAATGCCTTCGTATTTCATCGAAGACGGTGTTTGTGCCTGTAGTCTTGTCTTTACAACATCAAAAGGGTAGCAAAAAATCCAACTTGTTACCCCTGCTAAACCTCCTGCTACCAACATAGTATTCAAGCTTTCATCACAATTTTTTCTGCAACCCGGGTGAAGTTGTTCTTTCATGTATTCATATGTCCAAAAGTACACACCATGGGAAGGTGCATCCCTTATCATAGTGATGCAAAGTCCTCTATACATGCCTACAATTCCCTCATTTTTCCATATATTTTTAACTACCCTTATAGGACCATTATTAGAGGACTTGGAATGTGGCAACTTTTTCTCACAAGTGCCTCTAAGCTGGACTTGAATCTTAACTAACTCCACAGGAGAAATCAGAAAACTTTGTAGGGCACCAGAACCAACTCCTCCTAAAATAACACCCTTGTAGGAAGAAGAGTCTTTAGAAGCAATGTATGAGTCTAATGCCCTTGACAGAACTGTGTAGGATTGGAAAACCATAGCATTCTTCCACCACAAAACAAAAATAATTAGTATGAGATGATTAAATTTTGTTGCAAGTTACATTTAATACCAAGGATTTGAGTTCTTGTAGTGAAGCGCCGATTCGAGTAGTCATTTATTTGGTACCTACCGAGGAGTGGGAACTGTCATTTTAACCCTTCTCGGCCCGCAAACGCAAAGTTTATGGCTAACTGATATTGTCCATCATCATTTAGTTATTGCATTTTTTTTCTCTCATGCTTGTCATATGTATAGGCCAATGTTCTTGGTGTATTTTCTTCTTCATTGATATCAAATACATAACATTCCTTTGGAGTGATGTTTGTTCCCCACTATGGCCTAAAAATATACATTTACATTGACCCTTGTAGATAAGGTAGGTAGGTGAACAAGATGGTTATGATTTTAAATTATGAAAATAGTCTTTTTACATGTTAGGATAAATTTATGTATATTTGTCATTCTTAAATCCTATTAGGTTGAAATTTCGTGCACCAGATCAAAATATCTAAATGTCATATTTTAACTCAAAACATTAAGGTATTAATTGGTCTTACCACTTATATCAATGCTTACCTGCTTAATTAACACTCTAATTAAAAAAAAGGTTAAATTTCTCATTTGTTATAATTGCACTAAATTATTAAATAACTCTCATTAGAATCCAACATACCAAAATTCTGAAAAAATCGGTAGATCATCTTCACGTTCCATGAAATAATTCTCTAATATCTTATTGTCATTTTCATTTTCACCACAATATTAGGGTAATACAGTGAATCTTTTTTACTTGATTTTAGGTACTATATACCTTTTCCAATAAATAAGATACTAACAATCAAATTTCAGTCCTACCAAATGGGATTGCCCGCCTAAATTGATAATTATTTCATTAAATCTTTCATAATTATTTCACCTATGCATATATCTAAAATATGATGTTATAAATGTTTAGCTTTAAACCCAATAAACCCAGATAAATATAATGGAGATTATATTATATCGTTATTAACCGACATAAAACTTTGTCAAATCTCTAGTTATGTTATAAATAAGAGGAAGCAAAAATGACCTGAAGAGTAGAGGCAAACAATGGTGAAGCCATGCCACGGTATAGAGAACATGGTCCTTCCTTAAACAACATATGTCTAAGGATGTTAAAGGCAGAACCAGTTGTTGACTTCTGTTGCCTGACCCTTATTGTGTCTAATGGATGACCAGATATAACTGCAGCAATCCCTCCAAACCCTCCTGCTACAAATTCCTTACCCCAACTTCCATTAAATATTTGCCAAAAATCCATTATCTTATTTTATTATTATTACTCTCATTCCTCAAATCATGATAACTTATTTACAATAAGGTGATTGTCATTGTTATTTACAATGTCTAGTGCTATTATGTTATAATAACCAAAGTTAGCATATAAGTTGCCTAAGAATTCATGTGAAAAGTTGCAAATGGAATTTTGTTTTCTGGGTTCAAATTGCATGTCTTTTCACCTCCCATTTCATAAGAGAAATGAGGAAAATAGAAAGTGGAAACAAAAGTCATTGGTTGCTATATCCTTTGCTATATTGAAGAGCATATAAATAGCGAGGCATATAATGCACACATCATAGGTACATGCCCTTTTGTATAAACCATGTGTTATTCATTATTGCATACTTGATCATATATTTAATGACAATGGATTATGGTATATTGGTGTGCACACTCATGAAGAAAAAGAAGGGAAAACTATATTGGAAATTGAAGTCCCTTGTTTCTCCATATATTAAGTACATTATTTTTTTTTAAGTTTAGGACACTTTTTAACATTCCTCATATTTTTCTTTTACTTTTGGGTCTTTTGGGTTTTCACACACTAAATTTTTTAATTAATCCATACAAAATTGGGGTCTTTTGGTTTTTTTACAATAAGATAAGTCCTATAAATTTGTTTATTTTAATTTTAGTCATTCTTGTTAGTCAACGTATGTTAAATGCCGACTTGGCAGATAAAGTGTCTCACGTTAGTGTTGACAAATGTGGATGAGGTTCGACTTTGTCTTGGATTTGGTGGCTGAAATGTGTTAATATTTTGGATTTTGGTTATGCAATGCATTTAAATTTTGGTTTTTAAAACCTGAAATTAAATTTAGATCATCTTGAAGACCTAAGTAAGCAAAAGTATGCTTCTCTACACAATAGTAAGATTTTCTCTGTTTTGAATACTCACCTGCATTATTATAGGTTGTCCCGCTCAAAATAAATGCCTTTTCATACATATATTAATGTAGCTTTTGCACCAACATGATGGAAAAAACATGTGATTCTATCTATGTTTAATTTGCTTTATTTATTAACAGACTAGAGCATGACATGAGAAAGTAGAACATCTTGTTCTACTAAAAGGAATGTTATTTAAAAGAACAACAATTCATCTTGTTCTTTCCACACATCAAATACTACCTAGTTATCTTATTTTTTACTCCAATTTAATCAACACTACCACCAAAAATGTACATAAGTATCAAACTAAATTAATGAAACTATTAACAATACAAATTATTTAATGACTTAAATATTATTATTACAAAATATTAATGAAACTTTTAATCATTGATGTATGTTGCAGTAAGATTTCCTGATCTGCCAGAACTGTGTGAAATCACAACTTTATTTACATTGATTTTGAGAATTCATTCTCTTGAACCTTATATAAGTGAAGAGGTAAAGCAATATTGATAACATTAACACTTCTAATAGCACATATTTATTGATAGATCTTGATGATCATATCTTTAGTTTTTCTTTCTTTTTCTCATATAACCCTCCAGTCCCAAGGGTGTTATACCGATGACTTGATATAGCATGATGTTATTCGTTTCAAGTAATCGACTCCAACCTAATAGAGATCGACCCCAACCTAATAGAGATTAAAGCTTGATTGTTGTTAATCGACTCTGAGGAAGAGCACCCACTGTACTCTATGTGTTGGAGGCCACAACTCGTTGTGGTGGTTCTGGTGGAAGTGGGGTGAGTAGAAAGAGAAAAAATAATGAGAACATAGTTCAAGATTTACATAATTTCTTTAAACTCAATTTTTTGAAAAGATAATGAAATGTGTTTGACTGAATAGAAATCTCATACCTACTACTACAAAATAATTGATATAGAAAATTTATTTCCATTTTAATTAAGCTTGTTATTTTGGTGTGCTATTTTTATTTTGGCTTATTTTGGACGAGTTGGTTTTGATTGTGTGTTTTGGTTATGTTGTTTTGGCTTATAATATCTTAAACACTGTATCACGAGCAATGGCACTTTACTCAAGCATAGACAAACAAAATCTTAGACCAGCTTTCATATTATCATTTGTTAGATACAGAATAAAATGAAGCTACCGAATTAATAATCCTAGGAAAAGTCAAGAAAATGAGAAAAATCAAAGGTGGAAAGCGCATTAGTAGAAAGAAGAAGAAAATATTGTGAGGATGTGGTGTTATTAAGGGTGCATATCTACCTCTACCAACAAATGTTACCCAATGAATCAAATCTTTGACCTTTTGGCCTACTCGAAGATCCAGTAGGGCCTTATACTACTAGAATGACACTTTGTTGGTAATGTGATTTGATTTAGTAGAAAGAAAAGGTATTGCTAAGATAATAAGGTGATTTGATTTGATTCAGGTAGTTAAGGGTCCATTTGGGAGTTGAGGGCATTAATATTAATAGAAAACATAATCAGAAGTTACCATGCAAAGCTATTATTTCTTCAACAAATCTACTTAAGCCACAACACTACATGGATTAGTAATTATCAGAACCCAAGTGGGTCATCAAAGTACACAGAAAACAGAGTAGCTTATTGTGCTTTACATAATGACACAACTAGGTTCAGTACCAGAAATAAAGTAGGCCACAATACGAGATGTCTTCATGGCAACAATTGTAATTATAGAGCTCAACGATGAAGGGTGTAGAGTTATAATCATGAGAGTCTTCATTTCTTTCCACTTTTCTTGAGCCCAGAACCTCCAAAACTTCCCTTCTGTGAAGCTTTGGCTTTCAACTCCTTTAGTGCCTGTTCAGTGTATGCAACAGAGTTAAGTATAAACAGGATCATTATTATAAAAAAATCAATTGAATGTAGTATGCACTCAAGTGAAATAAAATGTCTGACCTTCTCCTCTTCTTTTTTCTTCTGAATGTTAGCAATGTCAATCTACAAAAAAAACAATACAAAAAACTTGGAAGGTCACAACCAGGTTTAAAAGTTGACGCAAGTCTGTGTCTGCATCGGTGCGTCTAAATGCATCCGGGCAACACTAAATCACATATTAATCATGCTGGAAATTAACATTTCACAAAAAACAAACACTTAAAGGCATATTGCAGAAGTTCGGGACTAGATGGAGATTATACTAAAAAAAATCATCATAGTGAAAAGTGCAATTTACTCATAAAAATATTTACCTAGAGTGAAGAATAGAAATATGAAACAAGCTGATATGGTCAACAAACAACAACTCACCTGGAACAGTAATCAAGGACAATACACAGCACATGCAGCATTTAACACGAAACATAACCTCGGAAGCAAATTGATCCAAACAATTATGAATGTCCAAAAAAAAATTAATAAACCACAAATTTCATGGCCTTTGCCATGGCAAAGAAATAAGGCATCTGACCCAGGAAAATAATAAGATATGTTTCTGAAAGTCAACCAGAAGCGTGAATCATGTATCCCTACCAACACATGATGTCAAGTTCCCCTCTGAATATCAAGATGAATCCCACTCAAATATCAAGATGTCAGGCTATAAGATCAAATCTTCAGAAACTTGTAGATTGAAAACATACAATAATCAAACTAAGCCCAACCTCATTTTGAAATCAAATCAATTTTGAAAATTCTGTTCTTTTACCACAGCAATTTAACAATAAAAAATGAAAACTCAAAAAACCCCAATTCAAGGATTTCAATTTAATGCAACATTAGCCAGCTAAACTCTACCAGAAAACTTTACAACAAAAGAACACCAAATAATTAAACCAAGCCCAACCTCACACCTTTTTACTCTCTCTTCATCAAAGTTTATCATTAATTCCCAAAGCAATTTCAACCTTGAATATTATGCTCTATCACTATACCAAATTAACATAGAAAAATATAAAATAAAATAAAAAACAAAACTTGAATGATATACCTCGTCGTAATCTTTCTTATCAGACTTGGGTTTCTTCAAAGGCTTAGCTTTTCCACCTAACATACCGAAATAAATAAAAAAATCAATCACATAAATTGAAAAAGAAAATTCTTCAATAATAGTTATCAACAGATCTTGAAATTAGGTTGATGTTAAAAGAAAGAAGTTAATGGTTAATAATAACAATGAATTGAATATGAGAAAGAAGGAATAGTAGAAAATAGAGATAGAAGAATCATGGCACCTTGCTTGGTCGACATGGTCGCGTTAGGGTTTCGTCGGAATAACGAAACGACGATGAAAGAAACACGATACGACCTTACCCTTCCGCGTACTCAGTTATTTATACATAGTGCAAAAGCAAAACAACCCATCCATCTATTTTTAAATTGACAACTTTTTTTAATAGTTAAATTTAGAAGTTAAAAAAAAGAGGACCTTAATTTAATTTTGGGACTATTATGAACGGATTTGACTCAATCATTTAAACATAAAATGGATGACTCAACTAATTAGATTCATTAGACTCTAGTTGAAAATTTTAAAAAACTATACCAAAACAAAGTTTTTTTAGAAAGAAAAATATTGTACTAAATTATGTAGGTTAGTATTTGTTCTTTATGAATTTTATGTTATAAAATAACATTTATTGTTTAATTCGGTTTTAAATTTATTTGTTTGGTTTTGATGTGATTAAAACGTAAAATCATATTGTTTGATGATATTTTCAACTTATTTATGATATTTAATTGTATTAAAATTTAAAACCTTCATTGGAAGTTGTTTAATTGGACACTTGAGCAATAATAATGTTTTTTTTAAATTTAAAGTATAAAGTTATTAAATAAAGTTAGTTAATATTGTGCTTTTTTTTCGATTTGAATCGAGTCAACCGATCCAACCAGTAACCCAAAGGTCCATCTAGTGGTCAATTGACCTAATACCCTGACCAAGTTAATTTTTTGATTTTATAACAGTTTGGTTGATTCAAAATCAGTCTTTTGTTAAGACAAATCATAAAATCTAATTGATCGGTATTATGATAGACCTCATGAATCGGTTTGTCCACTTTGATTTTTCAAACAATACAATTTCCAAATTTTTGTATAGAAAATAGTAAAAATATTTTAACAAATATTTTAGGGTCTGTTTTGGTGTTGGGTTTTGAAGGAAAAGTAAGAGAAATAGAAGGTTTCAAGTTCATATCATAAGTATATTTCATAGCTACTAAATCTTCTATTTTATTTCATTTACTTCAGAAACTCAACTCACAAAAAAGACTATGAGAAACATAAAGATGTCATACTTATATCTATTATGTTGGCCAGTGAGCTTCTCAAGTCACAACGGCATTGCAAACTATGTTGGTATTATTCATAGCATTCAAAGTTTGGTCAATATAGATTGGGGGTTCTATTGGATAATTTGGTCAACATAGTGGTACAATGGTCAAAGTAAGTGTGTATATATAATTCTCCATCTAAGACCTTGAGTGTTGCTATGAGCAACATCATCATTGTCCATTTTTCAAGTCTAAGTTATTCGTTTTAAATTGTATTTTACAATGAAATTTAAATCATAATATTGTAATTTTGGAAATTTCCTCAACAATATTATAACCACCACAATTATGAATATATTTTCTTGTAATTGAGATAAACATAATATAATGATAATACAAAAACAATTTTAAACATGGGTGAAAATCACCAAACCCTTAATTGTAACGCCTCGATTTTGCTCACTGTATCTATATTTGATTCTACCATACACATTTAAATATGGAATAAATATATCAACTACCACGACTCATTATCATCACCATCGTCATCAATTACCATCTCCTTGCATCTCATGATTCACTTCAACCCACTATCCCCTTTACCATGAAAGAGAGTGAATGAGAAAAGAAAGAGAGAATTGTGAGAAGAGGAAGTGAGAGAGGGATAGTGAACTTTGAAATTATGGGAAGGAGGGAGAAAGAGTATTAAAATGAAATTATTAAATTTAATTTTTTTTAATAATCATTCTGGTTAGTATCCAACTAGTCTCACATTAGGATATTTACACTTTATATTTTGAGTATACAAATTGCATTTTCCAAACTTTAAATGCTTTGTTCTTATATTATTTCTTTATGGTAAAGATATATTTTTATATTAGCTTTAACGTTAATGAAAATTAATTTACTTTTTCACAGTCTTTAATGATGGGCTTCCAATATTATTATCAAAAATACATTTAAAGAAACTAAATTTAAGATATCAGGTATAAATTGTTATTAAAAAATAGTGAAAACAACTAACATACCACCTCATTAGTTTTCCAACATCTTAGTTATTACCACATGTTAAATGTCCAACTATAATTAACATATAATTTTATGGCATTCTATAATTTAATCAACTTAAATTGTTGGAAAAACACTTCTACGCGATTAAATATTTGATTTATTGGCTAAGTATTACTATAAACTGGTTTTGAAGGCTTAAATGGGAAGAAAAAAACAAACAACTCCAAGTTCCTGAACTAGACATAATCACGCTCAGCGCTAGATCCACATTAAGCGGGTTTAACAACTTCTAATGTCTGCGCCCAGCGCCCAACTCAAGTTTCGGGCACGCAAAACCGCGCTTAGTGAGCATCTTGCATTGAGCGCCTAAATTCAAGGAATTTATCAATTCGATACTGTCTGGAATACGTTCAGCACAACCTACACGCTCAAACGCCGCAAGTCACGCTCAACACAACCTGATGCGTCCAAGAGTCACTTTTGGACAGCTGGATCCAACACTCAGCCCAGAAGCCGGCCATTGAACAATATTTATATGCGGCCTTAGACTCATTCCATTTAGACATTACTTTTACTTCTTGGAATTGTACTTCTTTTGTATCTTTATTTTAGAGAGTTTAACTCACTTAGTTCATTGAAACTAAGGTGTAAGTATTATAGGTGATAATCACTATTCCATTGTGCCACACAACAACCAATCTCAAAACAAAATCTTGAGTTGAGAATAGTAAATAGTTAAAAGAATATATTTTAAGCAATTTCCTGCGGATACAACAAAAATATTTTTCTATACTTGTTTGCGACACCGATATAATATTTATACTCCTATTTACCGGTTAACACCAAGCCTTCTACAATAGCCACTTAGTTATGTTAAATGGGTAACAATAGATATTTTTATATTTTTTCACAATTTAAGTAACTTAATTAATATTTTACTAATGTAGTTTTTTTTATTAATAATCTTTTATTTCATCCACTATTTTTTCTCCCTCTCAAACTTTTTAAATACATTATAAGTTCACAACAGTTGCTCATTCAGAAACCCAAATTTACATATATTACTACATCATTAGTTTGATAAAAAATAATGTTAAAATTGGTCAACATCAATTAATTGGGTCAATTAAATTATGGATAAGTTTTTAACACAACCAAATCATGTCCAATCTTTAAAACTAGTCAAAAATTAGTTTGACCACTTTAAATCATATTAGACCGCTGTTTGACCAATTATTTTATAAAATAATGTTTTTATTCCCAAATAGGAATCAACCCGAGAAACAATTCTATCATACAAATTATGAACCGCTTTAAAAATTAATCATATATAATATATAATTAGTGGTATAATTAATCATATATTATTATTATTATTATTATTATATTTTTAAAAATTAATCACATATTATTATTATTACATGTGTGCCTTACATAACTAAATTATTAATACGTCGTATAATTAATATGTGAAAGTTAGTATATATAATGATTAAACTTACATAAAACCTATTTCCATTTTTCATCCAATCGAACTTTAACAACATTAATTAGAAACAATCTGTAGAACCATGAAAATTGCAGGAGTAGGTAGAAAGAGCACGGTCATAAACAATAATAACTTTTATTTAGTCATCCATTTTTAAATCTTAATTCTTGACAACTTTTTATATATTTTAAAAGATATTATTTTTCTTCCATTTTTCACCCAATTAAATAAAAGAAAGCTAAGTATTTACTTTCTCTCCATTTTTATCGTTCTATCAAATATGATAAAAGTTTACTCATTTTCAGAATCCTCCTTAGTACTTGAGAGGAAAAAATACAATAATATTTATATCCTTTTATTTACAGTAATATGACATTTTTATCCTTAAAACTATAAGCAAAATCAAAACTCCAATCTCTATATCTTGATTCTTTGTTTTGCATATCTTTAAAAATAAATTCCCACCAAACAAAACAATTAATGTTCCGCAATGAAAATCTATGTTCACAAAACAAAGGGTAAATGTCTGAAAAGTGAATGAAATGGAGTGCAGTCAAAACAGCTTTGTATGAAGTGATTAATTATGATTAGCGCATAGATTTCTGAAAGCAATGGGCGCTCCTACATCATCACCACCATTATTATTACTATTATTATTATTATTATTATTATTATTATTATTATTATTATTATTATTATTATTAGTGCCATATTTATTTTCCTTTATGTTTCACACCCTATTAATTTATAAAAAATTAATTTAGTATTATTAAATCCAACTTTATTTTTCTTGAGCAATGAAAAGAAAGCAAGTACCAATAGCAAACGGTTTAGTCACTTCCCCAAAGCTGAACCTTCAACCAATTTTTTCAGCTTTATGTGATTGTGAATCCTATGTGCCCACAGTTTTATTTTCTTCACAAAGTTGTGTACTCTTTCTTGCTTCCACTTTCAATCTAACAAAATCTAGAAGATTATTACTTCAACATAGATTAAGGTACTTAATTATGACGACTATTTTCCTTCATTTATTTTCTGTAATAATATGTTACTTTTAATACAAATATTGTTTAATTCATGTAATGATTCAAAAAAACTAATTATATTAAATATCTAATTTATTTATTATGATTTAACATTTGGTAATGTATATAGAATTTATATCCTACATGCAAACTACAAATTTTAAGTTAATATTTTGGGTTAATGAGATAATATTTAGATATCATAACGTCGTATTCTAATAATGAGAATAAATGATAAATTTCCTTAAACTTAATTAGTTTTTCAATCCATTTTTTTATTTTCTTAACGGGTACCTTAGAGCACTAGTTAACAAGACCATTTAAATATTATTTTGGTGAATAAATGATAAAATTTTATAAATAAATAAATTATAGATGTTGTTTATGCAAAATTTATAGGTCACACTAATGAGTATAAAATAAAAGTAAAACTCTTAGCTAACTTAAATTATTAGTTGTTTTAAAATTAGACGTATTCTTTACTTTGAAAGTATAACAAACCCCCTTCATGCCTATTAAAGAGCAATGACTGAAAATTACATTAATCTTACTAAACGAAAATGAATACAACTTTTTAAATAATAAGGATGTCAAATATAATTAAAACAAACCATATCATCCACACACAAAAAAACCATATC